AGCTTTACAAGTAGAAAAAGAAGTTGGTGTGTATGTAAGACTTAAATGTTTATTACATATTGATGAGAGTACAAAAGAATTTCTGAACAAAGAATTAATGAGTGTTCATTGTGAACCTATAGTAGAACTTTCATCCGCACGCCAAAAAACAGAAGACACTTCTGCTTCGTTAGCTGATATTTCTGGAAATGACAACAAGGATACCTCACCAGGATCAGTTAACAGCAATCCACAATTATTTCATTTAAACCCTTCGAGACTTTCTTTCCTTTCAACAATTAGTTCTACAAGTTCAGCATCCAGTGCTGCTTCTTTAGTCGCTAAACTTGCAGCTAAAGATACACATTTTTCACTACCTCGAGGTCCAGCTAAACATGCAAAAAAGTCAGTCTATGAAATACCATCAGCACCGCAAAAACAAAATATAGATGAATCTCATGAGAGATTAATTAAGGAATGGAAAAATAATCGCTTATTAGTAACAACCATTTTGAGTTATTTAAATACAGAGGTTAATACAATTGATACATATAACATAAGTAATGAAAGATTAGATGATGTTCTGCAAAAAATTAGATGTTCTACGCCAGAAGAACAAGATGAAAGGGCAATGGAAACGACAACACCCAAAAGTTCCAGAAAAAATCGAGCATCAAAAAGACCACGAAGTAAAAATACCAGAGCAGGTGTACAAACGAATGGAATGTGCAAAATTTCACCAAAAGAATTGATTTCTTCCCAAGGAAATAACAGTACTCCTAGTAGTAGAAAGAAAACCAAAACTGATAAAATTGATAGTGATATACCATCCAATAACACTGTTTCATTCGTTAAAGATTTATCATACATTAATATAAACGATGAATTGGTTGGTAAAGAAGTATTTGCCAAGTGGTCTGACAATAATTATTATCCAGGTACAGTCACGGAAAAAGTTAAGTTAAAATATAAAGTGAATTTTTACGATGGAAAAAATAAATTACTTATAGAAGATTTTATTATACCAATACCAAAGACCCTAAAAGAAGGTTTATCAGTATACGCGACTACGGCAGAAGATGATTATGGTTCCTGTGGCTTAATAGTTGAAGTCCAAAATACTAATAATGATACATATTATTCAGTAGAAACGGATGAAGGAGAGAAATTACAAGTCCAGGTGAAAGACATCTTTTTGTCATCAGATCAAGCACAAGTATTGAAGGAAGAAATATTTGTCAAAATAAATAATCTTCCGTCTACGCCTAAGCTTTCGGGCCAAATAACTTTAGACAACATGGTAGATGGAAAACGGCGTTCTAAACGAATTGCCACACCCACATTTTCAACTCCAAAATCTAAGATATTGGCTGGTAGTTCTATTGATAAAAATATTAGTATATCGGAACCTTCTGTTTCTGGTATAGCTTCTAAAACTAAGAAGAGAGATTCTTCTGAAAATGAGAGTAAATCTAGTGATTCAAATCTTTCATTAAAAGATGAAACTATATTAAGTGGCGTGCAACCAGAAATTATTGGGACGCCAAATGAACAAATTGTAAAAGGACCTCAGCATAGAATAAAAGGAAAACCACGAAGTAAGAAAAAAGCTGAAAATGAAGAAACTATTGCGACTTTGGGTCCTATTCCAAACAACAATTCTACTTTATTTAAAGGCATGTCATTTATTCTTACTTGTGCATCATTGGAAGTACTTGATAGGTTTCAAGCAGATGCTAAAGATTCTGGTTCTGAGACTGGAACAGAAAATGAAGAAGAATGGGTCCGTAGACCATTTGTAAGGGATAGGCTGAAAACCCAAATAGAAGCTGGAAAAGGTAAAATTTATGACGAGTTTGATTTAATACCAAAGGAAGAATATAAAAATACAAAACTGATTACAAATGTGCCAAATGTTACTGCAAAAAATTTATTATGTCTTTCGGTCGGAATTCCTGCATATAATCATAATTGGATTATACAGTGTTGTCAAGAGGTATATAAAACTTGTATCCTCGTAAAAATGATAAGCATAGTTTTTATTTATATTACATTTGAATAATATTTGATGTTTATTTATTTATTTATTTATTTATTTATTTATTTATTTATTTATTTATTTATTTATTTATTTATTTGTTTTTTTTTTTTTTTTTTCAAGGACAAATTAATAAATCCAGCAGGATGGAGCTTACCTGCCGGATGGAGTTTGGATAAACAATCTTATATTGAAGTTTTTCAAAGGCCTAGTAATAAACCATTAACTCAAGTTATAGTAATAATTCCTATTGTAGAATCGGACAAAAAATTTACATCTTTTTGGCGCCAAATATGTGAAAATGCAGGTGCTGTGGTTTTGCTGGTAGATGGTTCAGGTATTATATTTTCTATATAATTAACTTTTAAATTATCTCTCATATCTAATATGAAATGTATGTACATAGCGATATAAATGATAATAATAATATTTATAATTAATAAAATATTAATCCTTACAGAAAGTATGGAAGGATTTGCAGAAGGTACAGTAGTAGTTACTAATCGCAGATGTCCTTCATGGGCTATTACAAAAGCTGGAGAATGGCAATTACCATTGCTTTCCACAACGTGGGTTGTTCAATGTTTAATTGAAGGCAAAATCTGTCCATATGACTCTCAACTACGTTATAAATATAATTATATACAAAATTAAAATCCTTCCTCTCCAGCAAGGTGTTATTGGCCATATCTGTAAGTACAACAAATATAGTTATGAATGGAAAAGAAAAAAACACATTTTGTTTTTAAATTTCAAATGTTTTCAAATATTCTATTCTTATGTATTTCTTTATGTTTATGATTCCTTTGAATTTTGTGTATATATATATATACATATATAAATATATATACACACACACATCTTAAAGTATATTAAGTTTAAATATATATATATTGTATATATATATATTTAAACGTATGTATATATTATATATATATATTATATATATATATATATTATATATATATTTGAAGTGTATTTTCTTATAATAATAATTATCAGACCATTTATGAAATAATGTCTTTTATCAATCTATGCTAATCATATATGATAATTCGCAACATATCTTTGCTAAATAAAATTTAATTTATCAATAAAATTAAAGAAATTTAAAAAGATGTTATTATTCAATGATCATCTTGTCGATGAAAATATTTGCTTTGCATTATTTTTTTTACTATTGGAACTTTCTACCATAAAAAGTTATAGCTATTGATAAAATTAAATTCTTATTTCCTTCACATTTTTTTTTTCAAGAAACTATAGAATATTTTCTCCTTTCGTTATACTGACCTACAAGATAGAAATTTAATGGATCTGTTTTTTAAATAGAATTTTTTTTTATTACTTTTCTGTTCATTCTCAGCATATGTAGATTGTGAACAATTATATTATATAGTTCAGTATTCACATGAACTTATATTTGTTCTATGCTTAATAATGAATATTAAAAAACTAAAGAATTTTCTCTTTTATTTTTCTAAATTCATATATTATCGTTAATTCATATTATTCATTATTTAATCCTATTTTTTTATTTGAAAAGTTTCCAAAATCAACAAATTAGGAATTAGATAAATACTTCTCTGTATTTATAGTACTTACAGTGTTGGTATTGTTTCTCACAAAGCTGTAATATTAGAGTTTTGTAACATTTTGTATAAAATAAAATATAAATATATATCAATTTTATATGGTGAACGAGTTTATTATAAGGAATGTTTATAACGTCTTGATTGCAAATTGTGTGATATTGAAATGCAACAGTAAATCATGGAAATGAATGAAACATTTATAAATAATTTTCATATAAATATACACATATATATAATTTTACAATGTTTTGTCTATCTATCAGTGTTCTTCATGGTGCTTAATACCAATATGGTATTCTATCAAAACAGGAAGTCTTATAAAAGTGTCTTGCAGATATCTGTGACATAAATAACACTCGTATTAATCCTGTTAACATAAAATAATATGTACAACATGATTAGTTGATTTAATTTTACAACAATACAAATCACAGGTGAGATAAGTGTAAATGTAATAACAATAATAATTCAATTAACATTATGTTAGACTAAATAACATTTGTTAATTACAAATAACGCGAAATGGTATAATCATTTTTTTAATACATATTATCAACAAAAAAGTGCAAACATATAAATAGATTTATTAAAACAAATTATTATTTATACAATTCATATTATCTCACTTATCTCATTGTGATTTATATATAATAAATTAATATGTGCGATTTATTGTAATCTGACAAACAATGTATAATATCAAATTAAAATATTTGTTATTTTTTTAATTAGTGATTATATAGCAGTGTATTTTTTAAATATATAATACACAAAGAAGTAATACTTATGCATTTAATGTATAAGGTATTACTAAAACATAATTTTATTTGATATATTATTATATTTACGTAGATATTAATGAAACTTACAAAATAAATTGAGTATTGAAGCTTCCTGTTAAAATGATGAAAAAGATATGTGCGAAAAAGATACAAGCAGACTATTGTAAGGATCTTATTTTCTCCAATACTCGAAACTTCAAATTTTTATTATGTTAAATCCATGCTGCATTTCAAAATTAATTGGTACATCGAGAATAGGTGCACATGTACGAGTGTGTATATATAAGTAAATATACGAATATTTACTATTTCTATTACATAAGTTGTAGCCATTATGTACAATGTCTTTGGGATAAAATACAATGACCTATTTTGTCAAAAAAATTTTATTCTTCATCAATAATGTACCCATCAATTAAATATATATATATATATATATATATATATATATATAAATATTAAAAATAACATCAATTCATTTTGAATTTTTAAACATAATTTGAATTATAATAAATAATATAATTAATTTGTCATTATAATTATTGGAAATGTTATAAGAATATCTTGTTGAGAAAAAATAATTATTTACATACAATAATTATTTTCATAGAACATGTACAAAATATTTCGCTCTATTTTAATATATTGTAATATTTTGGAAAATTTAATTTAATTTAGGGATTATACCAATCGAGGAAAAGTAAAGAAAATGACATAACTAATAGGAAAAAAAGAATCCACACTCTAAGCCCAGCATTCCTTTGAATAGCTTGTCGAATCTGTTCGTTAGCTTCTTTTACATTTTCAGTAGATCCAACGACCGTTGTCATTAGTCGATCAAGATCTTTATCTTGATCTAATACCTTTTCTGTAAATATTTCTTGTAATTCAGCTATATGAACTACTTTACTTTCAATTTGTTTGACCTCCTCCGTTATTGTACAAAGTTCATTATATAATTGTTCATTTTCTGACTCAAGCATCTGGATATCTTCAGGTGACAATTCTTCATATAAAAGAGTATTAACATCTTCATTAATTTCTTGAACTTTCATGGGATTCAATTTGCTTGAATTGCTCTGATTTTCAGTGTTATTTGTTTTTTCAATTAAATTTGAAACAGACCTTTTATTATCCATTTCCATAATTTTGTTTGGTTTTGTATCTAATTCAAGTTTAGATATATTCCTCATTTCTAAAGCTTGTTTTACTCTTATGGCTTTTTGTTCTGAATAAATTTTACAAACATTTTTCAAATAATCCTCAATCAAGAGCAAAACAATTTCACGATGTTCCATATTTTGTCTAGAAACTTCTGAAAATGCAATTTCTCTCTTCAATTCTTTAATAAGCTGAGAACATGTACTCATAATTGTTTGAGCTCCTGCATCAATTTTATCACGATCAGTATCGGTCATACGTGGTATGTTAGAAAAATAATTGGAAAAATTTAAATAAGCTTTCCGATTTTCTAATAAAAATTCTCTAAGTTTTGTTATTTGTGCTACAACAGCTTGGGTTTTGATGTAAAAAGAACTTTTACTTTTTGTCTTTTTCAATGGTTTAGTAAAACTAGAAGATCCTAAATTTTTATCCTGTAAATTAACAGTTTTTACACAGTCTCTGAATAATATACTGACATCCATTTTTAATATCAGTGTATATCACTGCTAATATTTTGAATGTAAATAACTTCAATCACACAAGTAGCTAATTATATCTTATGGCTGAAAAAAGATATATTTATAAAAATAATGTTCACCCTTCAAATACAATATATAAAAATATTTTGTTTCGTTAATCTATAATCTACATTGCCATATATAATTCAAACATTACCTCAAACTAAACTGACTTAATTGTGAAACTTATAATGAATATATATTATCAAGATGATTCACAAAAAAGTCACACAAGGATAATGTTCACTTTATTACCTATTCTTACAAATGAATTCCAATGTAGTATAATAAATTAAGACCAGCTCATTTTCATTTATTTTAAAACACATAAACATACTAATATATCATATTAATTGAATAAATCGATAATTGTGATGATCTTAATAATAATCTATATTCGAAAAATACTTGTCGTATAAAATTTTACACCGACCATATTGTGCTAATGTTGTACCGTGCGACATAACCTAGAAAAAAAATATCAACAAAGTTAAAAGGAAAAAAGATGTGGAAACTTGTGACAATGTAATACTAATGTATAATTACAATTATTCATAAGACAGAAACTATTGAAATATTAATTTTTCAAAAATAATTTTTATTTGTAAAATTTTTTTTTCTATTTTTTTCTTTTTTTTTTATCACTTCCTCAAAAAAATTTAATTAATTAATAGTTATCACTAAATTTTTGAACATCCGGTTGACGCAACTTACATCTTGATATTCGATTGTTATAAACAACTTTAAAAGATGCAAATAAATATAAACACAAGTATCTTGATTTATATCTACTTTGAAATTATATTTTTAAATAAAATGAAAATCTTTGATTTTAGATTATTTCATTAAAATCTAAAATAATAAAGATACATGATAAATACAAAAATAAATACTTCTAATATTATAATTTATAAAAAGTTTCCAAGAAGATATAATTTTATTTATTACCTTTTTTTCTATTACACGATTAAAGATATTACAAGATAGTGTTCATTTTTATAAAACATTGCAATTTAGTCATTGCAATTAATAATAACGAGATATAAATTTGTTTAATGCCTTTTGCATGTATCTAGGGACCCTGAAATATAGAAATATGCAATAGTGAAACGAAGTAGGAAGAAATTCTAGTACTATCTAGTATCGAAATGACAAGATGGCACGTCAGCAGCAAAGCGATGTCGATGAATTGTTCGACGTAAAAAATCACTTTTATATCGGTAATTATCAACAATGTATCAACGAAGCACAAAAAATCAAGGTACGTGTATTATCAAATTTATGCTGGTATTTTTTTTTGACATTGTCAACATCCAGAAAATTTATTTTCCTTTCGCAGTCATACTACCGCATTAATGTAATTTATTGTTAAATCAAAATTTTTTCTTTTTTACATGAGAAAACAATATATATATATACATTTTTTTTTTTATTAATATTAAAAAATATTTCATAAAGATGATTCTCTTTTGTGTATCAATTTATTAATAGATATATATTTCATTTCAATGTAGCGTTAAATATTGAAAAAACTGCTATTCTATTGAATAATAATTCTGTTTTTTATTAATAATTATTTCATAACTACTCTACAAACACATGTTTTTCTAATAATAAAAAATTATAAAAGTCACATTATATATTTTAATTTCATGTAAAATATTAAAGTAAATATTAAATTATTATTTTATAAATTATCTATCCTTTATATCTATACAATCTTTATTATAATATTTTTATTTCTATCTGTGTAATAATGTAATTTAAATTATACATATTAGAATTATATTTTTCCTCTTTAATTACAGCCCTCTTCTTCGGACGTGGCAATGGAACGCGATGTATTTTTATATCGTGCTTACATAGCACAAAGGAAATTCCGTGTTGTTTTAGATGAAATCAATAATTCATCGCCACCAGAATTACAACCATTGAAAACATTAGCGGATTATTTTGCAAATCCGTCACGTAGAGAAGCAATTGTTGCAGAATTAGATCAAGCAGCAAATCACACTAATTTAGACAATCACAATTTTATGATTGTTGCTGCTACTATATATTATCATGAAAAGAATTTAGAATCTGCACTACGAGTACTTCGCAATGTAGATCATTTGGAATGTTTAGCATTGACATTACAAATTTATTTGAAAATGGATCGTTTGGATTTGGCTAGAAAAGAACTCAAGACAATGCAGGAGAAAGATGATGATGCCACATTAACGCAACTCGCTCAAGCTTGGTTAAATATAAGCAGTGGAGGGGACAAATTACAGGATGCTTATTATATATTTCAGGTATAAAAAAAAATATAGATAGCTTTTATCTTGATGTTTGTTATTGTAATTAGTAAAATTACTTGATATCGAATGAACTTAAAATATATTTATAAAAAAAACATTGATAGATTTTAATTAAGATTGATTAATTTATTGAGATAAACTTTTATTTGTTGAATTATTTCAGGAAATGATTGACAAGCATTCCAGTACAAGTATGTTGTTAAATGGTCAAGCTACTTGTTTTATTGGTCAAGCAAAATATGAAGAAGCTGAAACAGCTTTGCAAGAATCACTTGACAAAGATAGTAATAATCCTGACACCTTAATCAATATGATTGTCCTTTCGCAACATATGGGAAAACCACCTGAAGTTGCTAATCGTTATTTAAGTCAATTAAAGGATTCTCATTTGGAACATCCATTTGTTCAAGAATATTTGCAAAAAGAAATTGAATTTCAAAGACTTAGAAAACAATATTCATCGTCTGCCTAAATTACAATAAATTCAGACCTTGGCATTCCATGGATCGGTTAAAATAAACAAGTATTAATGAGAATATTGAATCAGTTTTGAATAGGGCATACTACAGAATGTAGACAATATTTATGGGACAAAGTGTATGAGATTTTGTCATGAGGCTTGATCGAATGATAGTAAAGCAGTTTGCTCTTAAGCAAGAATATTCTGTTTTATATAAATTTCTATGACATAATCACAGAAATAAATGTAACATGTTTAGAGATTTTCCAAAATTAACCTTTTTATAATTAAATAAAAAAAAACACTATTGTGATAAAATTGAAAAAGTAAAAGCAAAAAGAAACAAAAAAAAAAAAATAAAATAAAATAGCATTTAAACATGAACTCAACACCACTCGTGGTTTTAAAATAATGTTTTCAAAATAAAAATAAAAAAAAAAAAGAAAAGAAAAGAAAAACCATGCGGCTGCCATTTTATAGTACAGTCATAATAAGATATTTCTGATATGCAATTTTTTCATTTTGCATGTATCATCTTTTTTATCATAGAAATTTGCGCGTAATTATATACATATACATACGTGCATATAAAAAAATAAAGTATTGTACTACATACTAGTTTGCAATAAAGGAAGGCTACAAGCACTTTCTTTTTTATCTTAATATTTCGTTTGCGATAAAAAGAAATAAAACATTTTAACATAAACACAAATACGTAACAACTAATGACAATTGTAGAATCATAATCGTAGAGTCATTAATATTCAAACATAGTAAATAATGTAATTCAAATGAGTAATATATAAGTTCGTTACTTTTATGAGAAAAAAGGAGAAAGTAATTTGTTGAATTTTGTTGAGTTTTACGTATTGTTAATTCAATATTATCGATTCAATCGATCATATAAATTGTATTTAGTAGAAACGTTAAAATCATTATTTGTAACGATTATCACATCATTATTTGATTTTATTTATTGTTTCTTACATATATACATATGTAACTATTTTAATATATTCATACGTAATATATATATATATATATACACGTAATTATTTTTAAATGTTAGAAATTTCTAAAAATGTGTGTGCGTGTGCGTGTGCGTGTGCGTGTGTGTTTATATATAAGATTTTTTTAATGAAATCTTTCTCAATCGGTATTTCTATATTCGGTTTGTAATGCCATCTAACAAGAATTATTTAAAGTATTCAAAGTCAATCGAGAAACGTTCATATTACGTCAAAGAATTCGAAAATTTAAACGTATAATCGGTATAATAGAAAGCTTAGGATCGTGCAGTTTGCTCGTGAACGTTGTACTTGTTGCACAAAAAGTATCACTCGTAACTTGCTCAAATCGTGCCTACCTCAATTCTCATAAAATAAGATAGATTTAATGAAAGAACATCGTTAGAATTGATCATATTGAAATATTTAAATCGTGTTGTTTACGAAATAAGTTTGAATTAACCGAAAGAAAAAGAAAAACTTGTCGAACGATGCATTGTTACATTGAGGACATATTATCATAACATGGCGACTAAAAGCAGGTATTTGTGCACTCCTTATTAGAAAATATTATTACGCTTTTGACAGCTTTTATTTTGCTTGTTGCCTAAGGTAAAGATTGATTTACATTTGCTACTGCTAAACCGTTCGTAGTATCGTTAAAGTATTTGTACATGTTATATTTGTAAGTTTAAAGCAATCATTTTTAAATCTATTATTTTTTTTCTGTTTTCTTTTTTCTTTTTCTTTTTTTTCTCTTTTTTTTTTTTTTCTTTCTTCAAAAGTTTAAATATCTATATTGGGCTTAAAAACAAGTTTCACGTCTGATAGGTTGAAAGCAACGATATTCTTCTTTTTTTTTTTCTAAATCGACATAACCTAAAATGTTTTAAAGCTAGTTTTATAACAAGTCTTAGGTTTTTGCAAATTTCAATCAAAGAATCATTGCAAACGAATGACCTTAAATTTATGTCATGAAAGATAAACAAATTTCATTTTCTTTTCATTAAATATATTTTTATTACACATCATCTCAGGAGAGGTAAAACAATTAGTATTTCTGATATTTATTATTTTATTATTACTTCGATATATTATTTATCAGAATAGAAAGAAATGATATGAATAATACGTCTGTAATAATATTTTCAATTAGAATTTCATTTTATTTAGAATATATCAGTTTTATTCTAGAATCTAGAGTTGAAATGTTTAAAAATGTATGTCTAAAATAGATTTTTTTTTTATATTTTCAGGGAATACAAAAGGCTTTTGTAAATTATAATTTAGTTAGGAGCGAGTACTCCAAAAGAGCCAATATAATTTGTAATTTAAGAAAGCTAAATCTTAGTCAAAATTTATAAACAAAAGGCCTATAGAAAATTCTTTTACAACATTCCATGAATTAATCATAAGTGCACAAAGGACATCAAAATATATAAAGATAACAAAGAACAAGATATATGGGTTTAAAGCAAGAATTTCATGGTTTATAATCATTTATTTAATTTCTTTAATTAATTTTTTGATAATACACACGCATAAAATTTAATTATGCTGCTAACTCGAATATAATTTAAAAATATAGAGAAAAAAAAGATTACATAGTTTTGATCATTATTTATATTTTGCTTTTTCGTATATTGCTTGTTTTGAGAATACCATGACAAAATATTATTGAATTAAATGTATTTGCTATTTTGATCTTTGAATATTTATTTCATTGCAGTATCATTGTTTGTTTTAATGTTATTATTAAATATAGTATACACTGTGCAATTGTAGTTCGATATATATTAATGTAAATAAAAAAAAAAAATTAAACTTAATAACTTACATATAATAAATATACAAGAGAATTAAGGGGAATGTGCCTAAGTGAAAATAATACAGGAGCAAAGTTATTTGCCTTTATATCTTGTGCCTTGAACATATTAGATATTGCTGTAAATAAAGTTGAATGATTTATAAAGTATATTTTGATTGGGATGTTAAAATAGGTACAACGCTCATTTGTAACACAATTTAGTGTTGCGTTAGAATTATCAAGAGCAAGCTTCTTAGTGCTTTTTAATACTATATTAATTATGTATCACACTATGTATCCACCACAAATGATGGTGCAGATTATGGGTGGCCAACATGCGAGTGGACAATATCTATCAACGCCAACACAAATGGTACATATTAATAGTACAAATGTATTATCACCGGCAGAGTATACACAGTATATACCCGATGTGTCTGGCCATAATAGGCATCATATGATGCAGGTATGTATATAATATAGCTTTTAGCAAATTTTTTTTGTTTTTTTTTTCGCTTAACGTATATAATATCATTAAAGTAATCCTAGGTGTTCTTTTTTTTAGAGGCTTTTTTCAAAATTGTTAATTATTATTAGTTTGTAATGATTTATGATTATTATATTATATATAATAAAATTTTTATGATCGCTTCGCATTGGTAGTTGAAATTAATATTATTATTTTTCTATCTTTTATTAATTGTCAATTAATATTTTGAAAAAACTAAACAATACTTTTCAGACTGGAAGTTATCCATTGGAATTATTGCAATTAATGGGTGTTGAAATTCCTTCATTGCGGCACATAGATTATGTCAGTAATGTAGGTACTGGTTCTGGTTCAGGAAACTGGCCAAGGCGAATTATTCCGCCAAACAATACTTCCCCTCTACAACCACCCTTGCATCTAAATTTTAGACCATCGAATAATAATTCAATAAAGAAACAACATTGGAGTAATAAAACAAGTAAAAAAAGTTCGTATAGAGAAAACTTTTTGTATAATGATAAATATAATAGTGACAGTGGCTTTAGTTCCCGTTCTCCAACCCCCAGTAAATATCAAGCTGATAGTAGCCAGAATGAAAGTTCAGATGAACGGGATTCTATAACATCTTCAATTGAACAAGGAATCAAGTAAGCAGGATATAAATATCTAATAACTTTCATTAAAAAAGGAGATAATAAATTAAATGCAATATGTAAGAAATAAAATAATTTATTACTTTGTTGTAGAAAGTTACATAGAGTGCAATCAGACTATAATATTGTAAATAATAAAATTACAGAAGAAGGTTTTATTTCAAGTGCCTCAGCACATCAATTTTATCAAAATCAACGACCCATTAATTATTATCCTGCTTTTTCAACTCCCAGATCATTTCAAAATTATCAGAATAAAAGAAGATATCATACAGGTGATTAGAAATTAAATTATTTTTACATGGATATAAGATCAGAACTTTTTTTTTTTTTTTAATCTTAAAGAGCAAAAATTAATGGATTCATTGTATAGGTAAAGGTAGTCCACCACCTCAAAAATCTCAACGGGGTAAAAAGTTCACAGGAGTAATATTACCAGGTTACAGTATGTTCCCTAGGTGTCATACAGCTCCAGATCGATTTCTCGCTAGATCTCATCTTATTGAAGTAAATTATACGCCAACCGATTTAATAACTGGAACGGTGTGGGACAAACTTTCGCAGGATATTTGGAAGAAGTTTATTACAAATCAGCAAACTGAAATTGTTTATAGAAATAAAATGAATCTTTGGAAATATCTCTATGTTTTAATAAAGGTAAATTTTCAAAAATGAATTTAAAAAAATGATATTTTCTCTGATAAAAATATTAAAGAAATTTAATGTCCATTAATGACTATAGGAAGATAATTGATCTTCGTTATAATAAATATTATGTTGATTATATTTAGGGAACGTTTCCAAAATATGGATTATTTTTGGTTGGTTCAACAATGAATGGTTTTGGATCTGACAATAGCGATGTAGATATGTGCTTACTAGTGAGACATACAGAAATGGATCAAAAAAATGAAGCTATCGCTCACTTAGAACAGATATTAAGGTGTCTCAAACGATCTGGTAAAATTTTCTATAATATATTGATATTTTTGTAATGATAATATTTGCCTAAACATTTCCCAAAACGAGTTTAATTAGAAATTTCTATCGTTTATGTATATTAGATATTATAACACAACTTGAACTTATACAAGCAAAAGTACCAATCTTGAAGTTTCACGATGCTATGCAAAATTTAGAAGTCGATCTCAATTGCAATAATGCTGTAGGAATACGTAATACTCATCTCCTTTATTGTTATTCTCAAAGTAAGTGATTAAATTAGAGTAAATGTGTTTCTATTAACAAAATCATTGTCTATAAATATATCTATATTTATTTTACAGTTGACTGGAGAGTAAGACCTTTGGTTCTAGTTGTCAAATTATGGGCTCAGTGTCAAAATATAAATGACGCCAAAAACATGACAATATCTAGTTACTCTCTGGTTTTAATGGTCATACATTTTCTACAATGTAGGTTTCTCCTTTTTTTTTTTTTTTTTTTTTTTTTGTATATATAAAAGAATAATTATACTTTTACAAAAAATCATATAAAAATAAATGTTATATATTGTAGGTGGCGTCAATCCTCCAGTTCTTCCATGTTTACATTCTTTATATGTAGGAAAATTTGGACCACATACAGATATTCATTCCATAGATATTAATGAGAAATTAAACATTCCGCCTATATGGTTTTATCCTACAAATCGTCAATCGCTCGGGGAACTTTTTGTAGAATTTTTTAGATATTACGTCACATTCGAGTGAGTTCATACTTGCATTTTATATAACAATACTTGCATTATTAATATTTGTAAATATAACATGTGTGATAGAACAAACAAAATTGATTAGTTTCAGCCAATATGCTATTTCTGTGCGTTTGGCACGTAAAATACCAATAGAAGAATGTAGGAGAGCACGATCGTTAAAAAATGATCCACATCAATGGAAATGTCTATGTATTGAAGGTATGTAAATGTCCTTGAGGTAAAAATTATTTATATTAATATATATATATACACACACATATATATGTATTTTTTTGTTTTTTAAATGTCTTATTATATCTTACAGAACCATTTGATTTGACAAATACTGCTAGGTCGGTCTATGACCCAGACGTATTTGCAAGAATCAAGCAGGTATTTGATTGTACCTATCAAAAACTAAAGGAAGGTCATAATTTAGCAAGCATCTTTGTCAAAGTTAATACTATATCATCATATGCTATGACATAATGATATCCTAAATGTTAGTGCTTAAGAATATAAGCACTATATAGGATAATCAGGTGCTTCCACATATTTTGCGTTAGCAATGATCCTCTTTTAAGCTAGAGGTATTTTGAATATTGTTGTCCACCTATTGGTGTAAGAAATGATATATACACTGTGATGAAATGAATTCTGAGCTTGTCTCAGTTCAATCTGATCATACTTGTGATACTAATTTAGCATGAATTCATCTTATTTCATTGATGTGTTTAAGAGTAAAACTGCGAATAGTGTCCCTTTTTTTTTCCTCTCTATTTTTGTCTGCAATTATTTTCTATGAAAATTTCAAATTATTTTTTTTATACATCTTTGAAATCATTTCACTCTTAATATATATGATCGATATGAATTATTTTGGTAGTATTTACGTGTATGCTCTTTAAATATTTTTCATTGTGAGAAAAAAAAAGGATATAATATATATAGACTGTGAAACGCTTCCTAAAAAAAAAAGAAGAAAAAAGAAAAAGAAAAGTATTAGTTGTGTGAAATGAAATGTGAAATGAATAAATAAGTTTATCCTGATGTATATTAAAAATTATATAGTGCGTAACGAAGAAACATGTTACTTTACATAGAGAAATCTTTTGCATCATTAAACGAAGCTGTGGTGCCTTGTGTTTGTCACTTTTTTATAAATAAGATCTCATACGGTGCCAGCCTATTCGATAGTTTCGTTAAGATTTTTGTCGTGGACAAAATTACAGAAATATGGACAAGACTTACTCTGCACGTGTGTTATAATGTCGTCTTGGCATTAATATAGAATATTATAAATTTTTGCTGAAATTAATTTATAAAAATTAAAAACAAAAAAAAATTATATAAATGAGATAGTGTAATATAAAAGTATTTATATATACTGCAGAGAAAGTTCTACATATATAAAAGTAAAGTGACACTGTAACGAAATTGTGTTATTAAGTGGTATAATATCGAAAGGAAAGAAAGAAAGAAAAAAATAAATAAATAAAGAAGGAAAGAAAGAAAGAAAGAAAGAAAGAAAGAAAGAAAGAACCAAAAAAAAAAACAAAAAAGAATAAAACAAAAAATGGTACTTATTAATATAAAATGTTACTGCCTACAATACAGAGTGCTCTAGTGTAGGATGTAACAATAGTTATAAAGTAATTATTTTGAAACTATTATAACAAAATAAAATAAAACAAAACAATACAAAACAAAACAAAAAAATACCAAAAAATTAAAAGAAAAAAACATTTTTAAAGAAGAAAAAATATTTTGGAAATCATAAAAAAAACATGCAGGAAATTAAATTGCGTTTATTATGTTTAAGTTTATCGCGTCTTGTTAAAGTATAATGAATACATCATAGTAATGGCGAGATATAAAATATTTTTTAAATCTATACAATGGAATTATAAGAACCTATTGGGTTGATATGTGGTATTATGAGAGAGAACAATCATATTCTTCTTTATTATGATGTATGCATTATTAACTGCAACAATCGCATAAGATTTAATTGACTTTCTCTTGTTAATTTGCTTCTATTATATCTGATTAGGTTTTATTTTTTTTTTTTGCCTAATTGAATTTCTAATTGGTTATTCAAAATGCTATCTAAACAAAAAAAAAAAAAAAATAAAAATAAAAAAGAAACTGTATACATTCTATAATAACTTCAGAATGTCGAACAACTAGATCTAATCAGATAGATGTGGTGGTACAAATGTTATATCAAATATTTTCAATAATTATTCATATATATATATATACAAAAGTTCCTATACACGATAAGATGGATAAATTTCAAGGCACCTATATTAATTATATCCATTATATAAAATCTATTCATATGTTGATATAAGCATATCATATCCCTAAATTATTGCATCTTCTAAGACGAAGATTTGCATTAAAATATTCTAGTCTTATACCTGACTAGTTCGTCTTCATTTAAATTAAATCAATAGTATATTAGACAAATTATATTATATAAAAGTGAAATTTAAATTATAAAAAGTATTCATACAAAAATTATAACAATGAACATCTTTGTTACTATATAGTCGTCTGTTCAAACATTAAAAAATTTTTGGTCATATGTAATTGCTCTACTTAACTGCTGTAATAGTTATTATATTCACATTCATGTGATACTAATATTATTGACTGTTATTTTTTTTTTAATTATCATAAAAGTATTCGAAATTTAGATAAATTCAAAAATTTTTCATCTGGTATTCTGACTTAATTTTTTTTACCGAATAATGTATACGATTCTGACCTAAGTGCCAAAATATTTTCTAAAAAATAAATTAATATATACATATATAGATATACATATATATATATATATATATATATATATATATATGTATATGTATATTTATATCTGCAGATATAAAAAAAATTGTACAAATGATTTAACAAAAAGTATGTAGAAAAAGTATTCGGTATATAATTATAATTTTCAATTATAAATATTTTTCCCACATTTATACGTATATAGAGAAAAAATCTTTTTTTTTTCAAATTTCTCATAGTGCATCATCATCAGTACAAAGTAGTAGCAAATGTCTAAAATACAAATAATAAGTTAAATTTTTGTAATCTTCATTTTCATTGTTAAATAAAATCAATCTACATTTATTTCTACGTAGATAAATTATTTTATTATATTTCCTAGCATTTTCATCGACTGCAAAACTTTATAATTTTATAACGAACAAACAAAAACTTTTATGATTGAGGAAATTGATAAAGTAATAAGTTATAACATTAAATTGAAAAAAAAAAAAAAAAAAAACAAAGGTATATTTTCAAATCAAATTTATTTGTACCATAAAAGTTTACAATAAATTTCCATATTATAATCTGCAGTTAGCGGTGCGCTGTTGGTCGGAGAGAGAAAAAAAATAATAATAATTTTGTAATGCATAATACAGATAATTTATTACTGCAATATAACCAATTCGTTAATGCCAAAAGCATATAGCATATGATAGATAATAGAAAGAGAAAAGCAGGGGTTCAGAAAAAAGAAAAAAAAAAAAAAAAAAAAAAAAAAAAAGGAAAAGAAAAGAATTAGAGACCGATCACAATGAATAAAAAAAATTAAATGATATTAATCAAAATATCGTAACGAATAAAATAATCTAGAATGCTAAATGAAGTATGTTTTTATATATTATGATGAACGAAAAAAATAATATTAAAAATTTTCTACAATTATTTATGCATTTTTTCTCTTTTTTTTTTTTTCCTTTTCTGTTTTGGTTTTGTTTAATTACTCAAAAAACCGCTTAAACAAAGCACTAATAGAAATCAAAAAAATAATATATAATACAATACGTACTAGGGTGTTATTTATGATGAATTCTACGCCATGACGTCTTGTATGTTGCATTATTATTATAAAGAAAAAAAAAGTCAAAATTCGAACAGAAGAAAGAGAAAGAGAGAGAGAGAGAAAGAGAAAGAAAAAGAGAGAGAGAGAGAAAGAGAGAAAGAGAAAAAGAGAGAGAGAGAGAGAGAAAGAGAAAGAGAGAAAGAGAAAAAAAAGAGAGAGAGAGAGAGAGAGAGAGAGAGAGAGAGAGAGAGAGAGAGAGAGAGAGAGAGAGAGAGAGAGAGAGAGAGAGAGAGAGAGAGAGAGAGAGAGAGATCGCATATATAAATATTCTGTGACCCCTGCGGCAAATAAATATTGAAATAACAAAAAAAAAAAAAAAAAAAATTATACTTATTGATTGAGAGATACGATTGGAATAGAATTCCCCGCGGTTAGCATAATGTTTTTTTTTATGTCATGCCGAGTTTTTGAGAGGGGATGACGTTCGTTCATGATGATACAAGAAGTGTTGGCTTCATGCTGTCCAATGATGATTATTAAATCAGCGATTCTAGACAGATCCAGATATCAAGACAATTTGGTTAGTATGGTTACGTGCCATATATATTTCTTCGGTAATGAGATAAACATTTCTTTAACAAATCCCAAATCTCGTTCACAGCTCACCAGTAAAGCCAGATAAATTGTATAACTTCTTAAAGCCTCCGTTGGAAATAATTCTATAAGCATCTTCTTTGCGTGTATACTCGATGTAATTGTTTTTTGCTTCCTTTTTTTTTTTGTTTAGATTTTTTTTTTTTTTTTCTTTTTTCTTTCCCTTTTATCTTGGGGGATTGGCGGGGAGGAGGTTGGGAGGGAGGGGGAGTGTCTCTTGACTATTGCCTGTTGTAATGTCTACTCTATGCAGGTATATTTTGTATATGCGGTGTGGTTCTTTTTTTTTTTCTTTTTTTTTTTTCCCCTGTATACGTGCACATATATCAATGTGAAAAATTGAAGGAACTGAATATACTATTAACGTTTATTACTTGCAGGATCGTTTAGCTTCGCCGGTTGCTGTGGATCTTTCGTAATGATGATTAGTTTCTTTTTCTTTTCCTTTTTGTTTTTTTTTTCTTCTTCTTCTTCTTCTTCTTCTTTTCTTTTCTTTCTTTTGACATTTTCCGTACGATTTGAAATACTCGAAGATATTAAAAACAGTATCGTTTTCTTCAGGGATATTCGTCGTTATTTATAACGTTGATTGATTGTTACTTCTACTGTATTGGCACACTTTTCGAATTTGGTCAAGTCATGAAGCTTTACACGTCCCATTTTTTCTCCTGTTTTTATTATTTTTATCATTTTTTATTCTTTTTATTTTTTTTTTTTATTTTTTTGTTCTTTTTTTTTTGATTTTTATTACTTTTATTTATTTATTTTTTATTTTTTTTTGTTTTGTTTGTTTTTTTTTTTGTTTTTTTGTGTTTTTTTTTTTTTTTTTGACTTTTTAATCCTAGCGTCACTCGATCCCCGCGATAAAACGGTCCGTTCACGGTAAACGCGTGTCACGGTGATTGGTAATATTCGTTGTCGTCTCCCTGTTTAAGATGTTTTTCTGTTTCTTGTCGCACTATTATAACCAGCGGTTATCATTCATTTCCATCATTCGACGAGTAATCGTTAACGACGGCGACGGCGACGGCGACAGCGACGGCGACGATGACAACAACGACAACGACGACGACGACGACGACGACGAAGACGACGACGACGACGAAGACGAAGACGACGACGACGACGACGACGGCGACAGACTTTCTCCCATAAATCCACTTTTTTACGCCGACGACTCCCACTCATATACCATACTCGATCGCCGAGCCGTTTTACCGTTTTGCGCAGTTAGTGATTTGAGTTGTTGGTCGAAGAAGAATTGGTCAAACGAGCCTTCAGTCGCTCCCGCGACGCTGCATGGCAATTGCGTTGCTCAGCCGTATGGTCTTGGCTCAGTATGGCTGGGAGAATTGTCCCCCGGCTTGTGACTGACCAGATTGATAAAAACCACTTCTATCACCTTGATAAGTCGAATCTTGGGACAGCAGGCCGTCCATTTGTGATTGAAATTCCCCAACCGCGAAGGAATCCTGTGAAAGTTCAGCCTGGCTTAATCCAGGCTGAGAAAGACTGAATCCTGGCTGAGACATACCCTGAGTTGTCCCTTGAGTCAATGGTAATCCTGGTTGGCTATATGGTTGTGTGTTTTGTTCGGTTTGACTTAGCTTACCCATACGCGCACCAGATTTATTTTTAGATGCGGGAGTGCCGCGTCTATTTCGTTGATTTTGTCTTGCTTGTAGAGCCTGTTGATGTTGATTATAAAAACGCGGTGGTACATGGGCCATGTTCATAAACATACCAACTGGGACTGGTACATTATTCATAGCGGCCTGTGCTCTTTCAGGGCTTATGTAACTTATGGTATCGTGAGTTCTACTGAAAATATCCAGAGGCACGTTTCTCTGATAATACGGATTGTGATTTTGAGTTCCGTTAACCTGATTACCGGAACGATCGTAAACAGAACCAGGAATCAAAACCTCTCTGGCATCGTACATAGATGTCGTCATAAAGTGTGATCCTGGATTTGCGGCATTAACAAGCTTTTTTGGTTTAGCAAATTGTATCATAGATTCTTTCAAATTATTCAATGGACCCTCTACAAGGACCTTCTGTTCCTTGTAAAAGCTCAGTAAATGATTCCAAAGTGGTTGTTTCGAAAGTACTTTCGGATTTCCTACGATAATAATACCATATTTTGCACGAGTCAATGCAACGTTTAATCTTCTTGGATCGTTTAAAAATCCTATACCCTGATGTTCATTCGATCTTACGCAAGACATAATTATTATATCCTTTTCGCGTCCTTGAAAAGCATCGACACTTGCGACTTCTATTTCTTGATATAATTTAGAATGCAGTGAACCTTGATATTGCATGTATTGAACCAAGTATGCCCTTTGACCTTCGTAAGGTGTTATTACACCAATTTGTTCTGGTTTTACGCCGCAACGTAAAAATCTTGTCGTTATTTTTTCTACGTTAGATGCTTCCGTTCGATTCAAGTAAGATGTACCACTACCAGCAATTTCTTCTTGACCTTGAGTTACGTAGAAGAACATAGGTTTGTCAGGAGCAGGCCAGGGAAAATCGATCTTTAATAATTTTCTTTCGTCAGCGCACACTCCATTTTGAAGGGAACCTTCGTAAAAGAAATTAGATGGAAAACGAGACAGATCTGGATGCATACGATATTGGACCTCAAGACGAAATGGTCTGATGCCAAGAACGACCAATCTTTCAAATAACGATTGGGAAAGTCCAGCTCTTGCAGCTTTTTTACACATAACGACAGGTCCTAATTGACAATGGTCTCCGACAAGTATTAATTGCTTAGCTCCAAGGACAACTGGTACCATACATTCTGGTTCCGTTGCTTGCATACTTTCGTCTATAAGTATAGAATGAAATTTTAATCTGTGCAATCTTGGATCACCTGCGCCAACGCAGGTACAACATATCACGTCGGCCGCCTCTAACAATTCTTTTTCTGCAGCTTTCTTTAAAAGTCTATAACGTTTTTCATCTACGCTTGATAATTCTCCCGTTTCGTCTTTCAATTGTTGAAGCTTTTGCAATTCCGTATTTGTCTCCATATTTTTTATTTGATTGTGCAATGCAAGAAAACTCACGGGCGAATCAATTGCCTCACGTGATTTTGCACAAAGACGTACTACCTTTAAATTAGATTTATGTACTTTCTCCGTAAGTTGATCGACTGCGGTATTAGATGGTGCACAAACAAGTACCGGACCTCCGTTTTGTTTTACAAGCTGATATACTATTGTAGCGCTGGTTACAGTTTTTCCTGTACCAGGCGGACCTTGTATCAAAGACAATGGTCGTTGTACAGCATGTTTTACAGCGTATACTTGGGATCTATTTAAATCTGGCAAGTTAGGAGCACTAAAATGTTTCGGTAAATGACAACGAAATAGAACTTCTTCTACCTCGTGACCGAGCAATCTATGATATATATACGCTGATACAGATGTATCATCCACGGCAAATTTTCGTAGTGCCAATTGCATTCTATGAAAAAGAGAAAAAAAAAAAATTTTTTTTATTATTATATTTATTAGTATTATTAAAATTATATAAAACGATAATATACTTTGTTTAATACAACGATCATATTTGTTTTATATCTATATAAATTATATTAATTGATTATTTAAGATTATTATTTTAAGTTTTACTGACCGATCAAAGCTTGTGCTTTTCCAGATGAAATCAACGACAAAATTACTAATGCACTCTGTAGGAGCGCCTGCGTTATTTTTCAATTCTATACCAACTTCTTCTCCATAATTGTCAGGAATTTTGATAACATGGCCAATACCAGACCATGGTTTGTGGAGTTCTCCCAAATAACGAAGTCTTAATTCATCTCCATGCATTAATTTCATATCACCATCGGTTTTAGCTAACATAAAATATGCTATTGTTTTTTTATTCAGACCTACGTCCCATCTTACTTCAATATTTTCTTGCGTCTGTGATTCTTTTAAACGCTTGTCATAATCAGCTTCTAATTTTACAAGCGGTCCAAATATATTCTGATATTGGTATCCATCCTCATAACGTAATAAAACTTGTTGCGGTTCTTCATCTACACCAGGCTTTTCAAGATCTTGAAAAGTTGCATCAACATTGTCTCGCCACAATTCTTCCAATTTGTTAATCTGCTGAGCAGATATTTGTCTGGCTCTTAGCTGTTCCTGTTCAGATGGTATCTTTACAAGCCATGCTAAGAAACTACGATCTTCTATCAAAGGTTTCCATTGTTCTTGATCCCTAATTGTTGTACATTAAAATGTATTAATTAATATCTATTTTATGTGCTTTAATTCCAAATAAAATAATAATTACATACCAATTCATGTCTTTTAGAGAGCTCTGGGCTGCACAAGGTTGTCGACACAATAATACAACAACAGAATCTGCTTTAGCCGGTATAAAACCAAGAACAAATACATTTCTAACCGCACAAGAATAACATTCTAATACAGTTTCACCCAATGGTCCATCTCTATTAAAGTAATTATATGAATAAACAAATGATCAAATAGATAAAATATAAAAGTTGTAAGAAAATATAATGAATAGTATAGAATTATAAATACCTGTGCAATGTAACTTCTTTGTGCTTTGCTCGAACAAGGTGATTGATAATATGAGAACCAGATGTATTGCCTCGTCCATTGCAGAACCATTTACGACATACGTTGCACATAACGACGCAAGAAGCTTCATGAATACCGCAATATTTGCAAGCATGTTCTGGTAAATCACGATTATAATATGCTTCTTCTTCTTCCTCTTCAAATTGTAGTTCGGCTAGGCTCTGAGCAGCACCAGAAATTTTTAAGTCCAATGACGAACTACCACTTGTTCCATTAACCTATATCAAAACAAATATCTTTATAAATCTTGCACAAATGCATTATAATATTATGTCTTTTATGGAGCGCATTAATTTTCTAAAATAATTTTATTGCGTTTTTCACACGATGAATTACTTTTACTTTTTAAATTATAATATTGTCAATTGAATAAGTATCGTATAACATTTTAAATATCATCAAAATATAAATATTGCAATTAGAAAAAGTAATAATATAAAATTCTTAGCATATACAAAGGAAAAAATTTTTTTCTGTAAATTCTGAAAGGTTCAATTTTATAAGATTATATTGACATAAAAATATCATTATTAATCAATGATCAATTGTAACGAAAAACATAAAGGAAAGGTTCATAACGTTCAAGGTCATGTCGCCGGGAACAAAATGGAAAAAAAATAAAAGGAGAAATATATATATAATAATAATAAAAAAAAAAAAAAAAAAAAAAAAAAAAAAAAAAAAAAAAAAAAAGAAAAAAAAAGAAGTTATATTCTTAAAAAAATAAAGATAATGAAACGATACTCGATGAATGATTGTTTCGAATATAGAATCGCACGAGTACCATATCGTCGCGTTCGTTCGTGGAACATACATACAGTTTTATCCGTAAATCAAGAATGAGGTTATGTCTCCACCGCATGGTTGTCTTCAGAAAGAACATTTATAGTAATGATTTGAGTATTGCATTGGAAAGTAATAGTAATGTAAACGTACGATATGTGTAATATAATAAAAAAAACCAACCTGTATAGGCTGACTCGGTTGACTTTGAGCCGCATCGTGTTGCGAAGCCTGTGTCTGGCTTGGCGATGGTAATGTAAAGTCTGTGAAATCAAATTCACTTCCTTGAGTATCGGCACCAATTAAATCAGCTTCCTCGGTATCAAGGAACGTTAGGGTTTGGCTACTTGGCCCATAAGCATCGACGCTCATCCTGCTATACGATCCGACACGATGTCGTCTTTTTTATCGTTCCTAAAGGAGAGATGTAAAATGCGAGACGCGCTCGTTTACCGAATAGAATTGTTAACGTAGATTTATAAAATATCGCCTAGAGATGAACACACTTATTCGTATTTTCTAATGAAAGTTCTATACGATCGTAAGAACGTACGTACAATGCCAGACTCTCGAAGCACTTCGATGAACGAGGCCACAAATCCTACGCCATACTTTGTCTCGCGCCCACCAACACACGCATACATACATACATACACACACACTTACACACGTACACACACACAGACGTGCGCATAGCATAGACACTTATTATATATGTATATATATATATATGGATATACAAGTTTTGTCTCTTTTGGTGCCACCGTCATTCGTTGGTTATTACGTCATCAGCTGATTTCCAAAAGTTCTAAGAATTACTTGTCTGAATGAAAATCGGATTTGAGATTCTTTCATAAACGGACGTTGATTGGTCGTTTCTCCTGTTACATTCTTTCTTTCTTTTTTTCCTTTTCTACTTTTCTCTCTCTCTCTCTCTCTCTCTTTCTCTCTTTTGTTTCATAACCACATACGAGAATTAGTCTTATATACGATCATCGTTTTAATATTAGATTTATATGAAGAAGAAAGAGAGAGAGAGAAAGAGAGAGAGAGAGAGAGAAGAAAAAAAATGAGAAAGAAAATGGGTGATATTTGTTTATACGATAAATTTGTGATTATGACGAAAGCGAGCTTGAAGACGATTGGTCGAAAATGTAAATGCTTTGGGTTCGGCGCGCTCGAATCACTATTCTCATTGGTCGCACGATTCTAGATGGTGCTATATCACACATATTCCTTGCGTTCGTAAAGTTTACATAACGTTAAATTAACGAACGCGCGCGAACTATATTTTTTAAATTCACGATATTTAAGAATTTTAAATTGTGCTTTTATTTTGTTTCGTTTTTTTTTCTTTTCTTTTTTCTTTTTTTTTTATCAATCAATTATCATAATATTTATGTACTCTACTATTCAACGATTTCGAAGAATACATATTTTTGACTATTGGAGGAATGAATTTCTTCATTAGAAAAACGTATTACTAACCTATCATGAAGAAAATGATAAAAAAAACATGTAAATCGAATAAAATTCTTTTACTTTATCGAATAAAATCTACTTATACATAAAATCCGTATACACACACACACATAAAGAGATTTAATAGGAAAATTAACGAAATATCATAAATTTGCTTTCGCAGCACATTTATTGTCATCTTTTGATATATTATGCGTACGTACACATAATTATATAACAATGTTGTAAAAGTATATATATATATGTATATACATATATATATATACTTAGTTACATACAAAATAATAAATACAAATGATATTATATATACAAGTATCGTAGTAAAGCTTTCTAAAGCTTTTTATAAATCGCAATTAAAATGACGCAACTTATGATCTATTTATTTATCGGTGGTAAGTGTAAAAAGTTGGCTACTTATTATTATTAATTTTAAAAATTTATGATAATGTCGATGTATTTGTTCTTACATGATGCGTATATATATGTGTGTGTGTGTGTGTTGTATTTTTTTTCTTTTTTCTTTCTTTTTTGTTTTTTCATAATATATGTTTACTTGTTAAGATTCTTCTTTCTTTCTTTCACGGAATGCGTAAGAAATGTCTGAAAAATCAGTCTTATGACGAGATTCATTGTCGAGAAAATTATTGATTGATTGATTGATATCAATGTCGTGTGATTATTAATATTATACTTATAAGTTCTCTTAATTTTTAATAATATTTACAGATAAACGTTGCTCATTCTATATAAATCGATATGAGCGATACATTGTAGCGATAGAAATCATTTGACGCGATCGATCGTAATTATTTTTATTTTTTAAAACGTTCAACGTGAATTTTTATATCGTTAGATATCTACGATACGATTACGTGACGGTGTTTATCCGTTAATATTATTTCTAAATGATTTCTATTTTCATGAATATTTTTTAAATATTTCAATTTTATCCCATTGAAACTTCGTTGTTATACATGTTATTATTCTATCGTTCCAATTTTTATATAATTACGATATCAATAACGAAGTTGTCTTTTTTTTCTTCTTTTCTTCTTTTTTTTTTTTTGTATCGAGAAAATATACATACAGTTTACGTATTCGGTATAGATATTTTTTCTTTTTTTTTTCCTCTTTTTTCTTTTTTTTTTTCTTTTTCTCTCTTTTTTTTTTTTTTTTACATACATTGAACTAAATACAGATATTAATGCACCTCAAATTCATCCCTTTTTGCCAAAGAAATTCACTCGACGTTATTGGCGTTTTGATTTTTCTTTTGATTATCAATAATTTCATTTATAATTGATAACAATACCGTTTAGATTATGATAAATGCTTTGGAATATTATGAATTGAATATATCTTTTATTATTAAAATTTAATAAACATTAAAGAAAAAAAGAAAAAAGAAAAGGAATAATACTGATAAAAAAAAAAAAAAAAAAAAAATCGATTTGCAAACGCGTGAATTTGATTTGGAAAAAATTTGAATTTGAATTGCAAAATCCATATGTTTCTTGAATTTTTCATTCAAGATCACGATTACGTATGATTATTATCATCATCATTATTATTATTATAAATTTATATCAATAACATCACTATGATAATATTCTGTCGATAGGACAGGACTATTGTACAATACTTGGTTATACAAAATTGAATAAAATCGTACGTACGAATTTTACTTACGTACTTAAATAGATTTCTAATAAGACTAATTGTCGGTACGATTTTAAAAATCACTTATAATCGATCGATCGATTACGATCGGTTAACATAGGGAAGGAATAAAAGGAAAAAAAAAAAAAAAAAAAAAAAAAAAAAAAAAAGAAAACAAAAACAAAAAAAAGGAAGCAAAAAAATGGGGAAAAAAGTCTTGATCAAATTTTCTTATATAATCGATTATTCGATTAATATTTTTTGCATAAACTGTACGGGGCCCTTTATATAGATCTCATATTCGTAGGGTCACGAGGTACGTTTTATAAAATGGCACGTTCCGCTCGTAGATTCCAATAGGCTTTATCCGGTACAGAAATGCTAGCAGTCATGGAAGATCAGTAAAGAGGATTCGGTGAATTCCTTTGGAAGTTACTTTGTTGATTTTGATTTTGTTGAAGAGGTCCTGCTGGACTGGGTCTATTTTGATCACGATACTGAGGTGGTCCAGGTGGTCCATTAGATGGTCCAGCTGGACCAGGAACTTTACCATAATTCCCTCTGGTTGAACCTTGATAGCTACCATAAGCGGAATCATCGCTACGTCTTGATACATGACCGTACATGCTTTCGGGTCTCCTCGAATTTGCTGCGTTATCGGAATTGGTTGAGAGCGTGCCATTTGGATGTTGTTGTTGTTGTTGCTGCGATTGTTGTTGTTGTTGTTGCTGTTGCTGTTGTTGTTGTTGTTGCTGTTGTTGTTGCTGTTGTTGCTGCTGTTGATGACCTTGCGTAGAGGATTGACCGCTTTGTCCAGATTGATGAGAGCTTTGACTACTAGGCGGTGGTACAGGTGCTCTAGCATATATACTAGATCCCGTCGACATACCATAAATTCCGTTCTCCCGCGTACTCAGACTCGTCGATATTCCTCTTATGCCATATATACTCTGCGTACATTGTTGCAATTGATTCTGCATGTTTTGATTGGTACTGTTGTGATTTTGGGATGATTGATTAGGACCGGTTAATGCCTGTTGGCCATCCCTTCCTGCATTTTGCGTAGTGGACTGTCCTATTCTCATTGGATAAAGACTTTGAGCTGGTACAAGTGGGCCTGGTTTTGGTATCATCAAACCGTCCCGCGGACCGGACGTCGATTTAGCATAAACGCTTTGCGAACGATTCAGATTCGCTCTAGTTAGAGGTGGGGATTTGCAATAGAGAGACTTGGTGCCTCCGTAGATCGATTCTACGCGTTCCAATGCTGTCGGTGGTGCACTGTAGATAGATGAGGAGGCACCGGCAACTGGACGATAGGTAGCATATGCTCCTGGAAACTTTGGTCCACTTGGTTTGTCCAAGTCATCGTAAGTGTCCTCGTCCGATCTCATTGATGAATTATCACCGTCGTCCATCTCACGAGAATCTCTCGATCTTCTTGGACTAAGAACGTATTCGTGAAGCAATGCAGCGACAGCACCACCCGATATAGGACCGACCCAATAAACCCAATGATTTTCCCAACGATTCATTACAAAAGCAGGTCCCAAAGCACGTGCTGGATTCACAAACGGACTCTATAATTAAAACGGTAAAGATAATGTAAGTTATGTTAACATTTAAGTAAATTTCGAATAAAAAAATTAAAATGTAATGATGTGGAAGCTTCAAAATGTAACAAGATTTTTCTTTTTTTCTTAAGTACTTTTTTCTTTTTCTCTCTCTCTCTCTCTCTCTCTCTCTCTCTCTCCTTCTCTTTCTTTCGTTTTTCTTTTTTTTTCTTTTAAACCGAAGGTTGGTATTTAATATGTGCACGGTAGTTTCGGTATTCTTTGGATCGTGAAGGTTCATTGTACACTCGTTCCGGAGCAGGTGGGACCGAGATCAAGTTCTCCTAGTCCCTCTCTGTTGCTCCTGTAGCAGTTACGGCAGGTGCTCTCAAGAGACGCGGATGTCGTACCGATTCGAAAGACATTTGGGGAGAGAGAAATTTTTGATAGACTGGTTACGGAAGAAAGAGAGAAAGAATGTCCTTATTTTTAATACCTTTAATACATATGTTCACGCGGTACGATTTACAGTATTTCTCAATTTTTTTTTCTTTCTTACATATATATTATCGATAATTATATCAATTCTGATGCATGCACGATTTTTTCTTTTTACTCTTTTTTTAATACCACATATATAATCATCGTTATCATTCATCGATAAAATAAGGTCACGTAACGATTCGAAAAGTTTCTCTTTACCATTTATTAAATTTAATATATTATCCGATGTAATCGTACTCTTATTACAAAGGGGAAAAAAAGAAACAAAGAAATAAATAAATTACATATACGCGTAAAAACAAACAAAAGAAAAGTTGTTTACCGAAACGAGAGTTGCAGCTGTATATGCGGCGCCCAAAACGCCGGCTGACTTCGAGGAGATCCCAATGGATAAGGACCTTGATGTCTCCGCAGAAAAATGGGCCAAAACGATAAGAACCGAAAGTGCCAGTTCGACTAAAAGTCTTTCGATAGGTCCGCTGATACGTCCGGGTGATGTTAATGTTTGCGTATTGGAAGGTGTCGTAACCCTGAAAGCAAAACAAAATTTTCTCTTATTAATATATTTTTCTTTATCAATCAGATAATTATTATTTGTTAATTAACGTTAAAACTTTACGTCGCGTCCTATTTTTTTTTCTTTTCCCACTCCCACGTTTGTCCATTCGATCGATATCAGAAAAAAGGGGGAAAAAACAAAAAACAAAAAACAAAAAAAAAAAAAGAAATTCAAACATTCCTCCATTTTTTTTTATTCATTTTATTTTATAAGAATATAAAATTAATCATCTGAAATTTTATTTATTATTCATAATTAAAATTTGGGATTGATAATTTCATTGTCAATTAGATGCTATGCGTTAACTGGAATATAAAATTCTTTTTTTTTTTTTTTTAATACTTTGCAGAATGTCCTTGAGGATTTAAAGAAAAAGACAAAAAAAGGAACATGTTGTATATATTTCGAAACAAAATATATTTTGTTTCAAAATAAATGTTTGTGAAATGTAATAATATAATTTAAAACTTGAATAAAAAATTTCTAACGTGGCACTATCGATGTATCTAAAAATTTCAAAGAGATCTTCCGTTTCTTGGAAAATAATTTTAAAGGATATCAATGGGTTATCTTTAGTACAGTTTCGTTAATAAAATTTTTAGAATTCTTTTATTATTAACTTCATAATAAAAATCCTCGGAACGAAAAAAATTTAAGATAGCACAATCTGGAGACCATAATGTTTAGCCGATAGTCGGCCAAGGTCAATATAAAAAAATATAAATAGGAAATAGAAACGTGCAATACTATTGTACATTAATGGGATCAATCGTTTAAATCAATCTACATTTCATCAAAATATCGAGATAATTATCTCGTAAACTTTTCTTTATATTAATTAATGAAAATCCATAGGATATAATAATCGTTCGTATGTAATAATAAAATCAATCTAACGTTAATGACAATGTAACGAAACAATTACAAACCAATGATATAACACAATTATTTAAATTTATTTCTATATGATCAATGAAATATCTATTCGTTTAATTAATGACGCATCATGTGCAATAGAAATTTATTGAAATTGATTTTAGATTTATTCGAAATAATATTTTTTATATAGAGAAGAAAGAAAGAAAGAAAAAAAAAATAGAGAGAGAAAAAGAAAAGAAGAAAAAAAGAAAAAGAAAACAAGAAAAGATATAGCAACTATCGATCCGATTCTATAACTAATTCTATCCTCACATATGGCATCCATGATAGTCAAGAGTTATGATAGTATGTATAAGTTACATGACCGCGCGATATAATATACGATGATTTTTTTCTATTGAAAGTATATACGTATGTATGTATATAACGCGTTGGACCCTCTAATAAAAGCCTCCTGCTGATGTAAATCCGTCCCAATGGTATAATGTTTATATTAGCTGGTGCATCATCTAGCCCCCTCTTGGCCTTCATCCTATCCATTCTCTTTATCTCTTTCTCATTTTTCCATGATGGCGCGTGAAAACCCGTCAATTTTCTCAGTCTATATAATCACACGGGGTCGCAACGACGTGACCCGAAGTTCGGACCCTTCGATTCTTCTTCATTGGGATTCCATATAGATTCTTTCTTTTTTTTTTCTTCGTTCTTCCTTTCTTTTTTTTTTTTCTTCTTTTTTCTTTTAAATCAGATTATCTACTATCTTCGTTTATTCCATCAGTCGAATTCTTTTTTAAAATAATTGAAATGTCTTTTGAGAATATTGAAATTAATGATTTGTTTATAATATTATATTTTTTGTATGTAATTTCTTTCCTCTTTTCTTTTTCTTTTTTTTTTTTTTCTTTTTTTTTTTCTTTTCCTTTTTTTCTTCTAAATCTCTACAAGGTCATTTAAGGTTCGATTTTATTTCATTATAATAGTAATATCATATATATATATATATAGTGTTATATCATAGGTATATCATAGGTATAGTGTAAATTTTTTAGTACAAATAATATAATCTTTTTTTCTTTTTCTCTTTTTTTTTTTGTTTTTTTTTTTTTTTAATTCGACACCAAGTAACTTGGACGTCACGTATTTATCTGAATTTGATTACATTTCGTCGTAACATAAATACAAGTTGTTGATCGATATTAAAATTGTTTCATGTAAAATTTTTTCATCGATAATGAAATATAACTTACATCAAGTATAATATATTTTATATTAGTACAATAAATATTATTGTAAAATTTACAAATTTTATAATTTTTACGTAGATACAAAAGTAGTTATAGACATGTGTTCATTGATATAAAAAAAAAAAAAAAATATCCTTCTATTTGATTTGTTGTATCAGTGAGATAGAGATAGATAGATAGAGAAAGAGAGAGAGAGAGAGAGAGAGAGAGAGAGAGATAGAGAGAGAGAAAAAGAAAGACAGAAAGAGTTTTGATCCTTCCCTCTTCGCATATCTTGTCACCAACTTCCAATCTATTTCACTCAAGCTGCTTAAACATGTATAGAACGTAGACTATGGAATCGCGTTTCTCAAGCCAAGAACCTCCTTGAGTTTCGATGAAATTACCATAATCGCATCTCAAGTGTCGTCGTCTGTCTCTCCCTTTCTCCGAACTTTATCGATAATCCAACGGTGTTCGTAATACGTTTCATATGAGTAATCGAAAGAGTCACTCCTTCTAATACTCCTGACATGTATTTCTTTAATATTTATTAATTATTTTCTAATTATTTTCTATCATAATTTAATCATCTATGTTAGAATACATTTTTATATTATTTTTATATTACTATTTGTCAATCAATTTGCTTTTTTTTTTTATCAAATACATATATATATATATATATATATATGTTTTTTTTTTCAATATATACAGATTTAATTATTATTCCGTATTTTTACAATTATTACCTAATTATATATTTTTTCGATTTAATTTTCATTAGAATTATCCATCAATCTATCTATCTATTTATCTAAGATATGCATGCAATACTCTTTAATTAATCTCTACATGATCGACGATAAATCAATCAATCATAAAATGATATTAATCGTTTCAAACATTCGTAATTTCACACGAGTTAGTATATATTATATTTGAATCGATCTTTCAATCGATCTATTCAATTTGATCGATCTTTTTTCTTTTACTTTCTTTTTTTTTTCTTTTTCTGTTCGAAAGGCGTTGACATCCTTGAGAAGAATTCGTACGATAAATCTCCATTCAAATACATAATTTTTAATCTGAAAACAAGTGTCCATCGTCCATTGGAGTATCTCCCCTGGACTTATGTTAAGTCGCCTGCAATATTCTAACGTTTTCTCCCCCTTTATTCACATCGTGTATGCTAATGAAAACTGTCCCCTCGAAGGGTCTCGCGCCTCCCTCTCTATCTCTCTATCTCTCCTATTCTCTCTCTCTCTCTCTTTCTCTCTCTCTCTCTCTCTCTCTCTCTCTCTCTCTCTCTCTAGATTCGAGAGAATTGATGAAACGAGAAATGCAGATCATGACCGCACAATTGGGATCAACTGCGTCAATGTAGGTGGTTGTAGTTCTCTATAGGAAAGAGGGAATAAGAGAATGAGAACGAGAACGAGAACGAGAGAGAGAGAGAGAGAGAGTGGGGGAGAGGGAGAGGGTGAACAAGGAAAAAGAAGAGAAGAGCTTTTGAAGATCGTTTCTCTCATCGACTCGCGTGTCCCCACGTGATAAGCGGATTTCTCATCTTTTTGTTTGTTTGTTTGTTTGTTTGTTCTTTTTTTATTTCTTTCTTTTCTTCTCTTACTTTCTTTTTTTTTCTTTCTTTTTTTTTTTTTTCTTCTTCTCTTTTCAGACGAGCGACGCTTGAAAAAACTTCTCCCAATGCGAATTTCTCATCGCATGACGAAATTTCACGGGAGGTGTTCGTTGCGCATTTTCTTTGTTCTCTCTCTCTCTCTCTCTCTCTCTCTCTCTCTTTTTGTTGTTGTGTTTCTTTTTTTTTTCTTTTTCTCATTCGTCACGGAAACAATGGAATGAGGTAGGAGGGCGGAAGAGTGAGAGAAGGATAAGGGGCCTACGGCGTTAATCGCATTTTATTAGCGTTAATTTGCCCGAATAGAATTAGCTTTAACTTTCGGTTTTAACTGTATTCTTTTTTAAACTGTATAATTTCACATTGTTTTACAGTGAAATTGTTCTCGCAATATAAACGGATATTAAAGAATTTTTGCATCGAGAAGATAAAGACGATATATATATATATATAAAGAAATTTTTTTGACCGAAAGTTAATATCATTTGAAATGTGAAACAATGCGAGATTTATACTTTTCATTATTTGAAAAGTATAAATTTATTTTAATAAATAATAAAAATGTAAAGTTTCTTATTAATTTTTTTTATAAATTTAAATAAATAATAAGATATATTTATTTATTTATTTTATTTATTTATTTTTTTAAAGAAAATCGAATTGTTTCGAAGAAAAACAGGTAGAATGTAATTACGTTGTACATGTGATTAATAACGTCGAAATATATATATATATATCGAATACATTTTATGTATTTAAATACATAAATATTATAAATAATTTATTTATATACTTTATTTAATATCAATAAATGTTTATATATTATGTGTTGAAAATACACGTAAGGGATAAGAAAGATCAAGGGGACAAAAAGAATGCAGTGAAATGCATATACGCGTATAATATGCATTCGAGCAGATAATAATAATAGATATCGGCCATATCACGGTGATATGCTATTATGGCAATGGTCTCTTTAATTCTTTTCGTTCATTTAATAAAACTTAGGTCGACTTTCTATTACGTATACGTTCCTTTTCAAGGGCCCTATTTTTATTTGCAGACAGAAAGAGGAACACTTTTTTACCTGGTTAAAGTAGACACACAACGCAATCAACAGCATAGACAGACGCCTTTCATTCTAACCCATTCCCTTTGCAAAATATGTACTATATGCATACATATATATATATATATATATATATATATATATATATATATATATAAATA